AAATACTAGCTATCATGTTTGCTTCAAATATCTCCTAATTTATTTAATTTGAAACTTTTTCTGGTCAACAGCCAAGTGAAATTTTTAAGTTGGAAAATGATACTATGAGAAAAGGTGTGCTTTGGAACCAAGCAAGGAAAAGGGATGGAGTAAGAAGTATTTCAGTTAATTATAAGCCAAAAGCACCTTTGTTTCTTCTGTTTATGTCTTACAAATTCTGACCACACCAAGCATACTCTGTGTAGTTCTGAATTACTCCTCAGCATGGATCATGTTGGATTGTCTGAGGTGTCATGGAAACTGGATGGAGAAAAGCTGGCTTATGAAGCCATACCAGACAGCACAGGCAATTTCTTTTCAAGTATCTGCCTTCTTCTGTCCTTTTTTTTTTTTTTTTTTTTTCTTCTGAGAAAATGACCATTTTTTTTTTTTAAATAGAACTTACTTTGTTTTATTTAAAAGAATCCATGCTCTTCTGGCATTTTGAACGATGGCTGTTCCGAACATTACATTATTAGTTATTTGCTTTGGTTTTTCATATCATCTGAATAAATAGCAGTCAAGAGATTCTTTTGCTACTTGGCTATACACCTCTCAGTACAGTAGTTTGCCTGCCAAAGTTAGTATTTCTTTGATTTTGAGAAAGATTGTGAAAGGAAAAAGAAACTGTGCGTTTACTGCAGGGGAATATTTTTGTTTGTGTACAGTAACTCTTCTAAAGCATAGTAGTTTTCAGCGCTGTTTTCTGAAAGGAAGTGTGCTCTCCTCTGGGATATCAGCCTGGAAGAGGTTAATTTTATCTTGAAAAAATGTAGCTTATGTAAGATGTAGCAAGGATGTATCATTAAAAACAAAAGGTTTTCAAGACTTGTGCTAATAATCATTGGGAAGGGATATGCTGTGCTATATGCCACAGTATGTGTAGAGAATTCATTCTTAATCTGTGGCAATTTTTTACCCCACGATTTAAAAAGCTGCCTCTGGTGAAGCAGATATTAAGAGTCACAAAAAAAGCAAACTATAGATGGTGTCCTTCAAATTGGCATGGCAGGGTAAGGGTGCCAGAAGTAGAAGTGAAGGACAGCAATGGCAGCCTTACACTGACATGCCAGGAGTCACTGTATGAAGTTTGGTGATGGGATTGCTTGAGTGCCACAAATCAGAACAGCTGCTCACAGGCCTGCCCCTCACTTACAAGCTACTTTCTCCATCCATCTGTTGATCTGAGGATATCACCTTTTAAATAGATTTTGTCTATTTCCATTCATTTCACTGATTAGACTCTTATTTCAAAACATGGTTGTATTTCTTTGTTGAGAATGCCATTTATGAATGAGTAATATTTTCATATTTGTGCAGTTCAGGAACCCAAAGAATGTCACCCTCCTGTCATGGCAGGCTATGGAAATCTATCAAGCCCTAGTATTTGGAACTGAATAGTTAACATGACACTGCTTGAAGATTGTTTAGCTGTGACTGATCTAGAGAAAGCTAGACATTCGGGCCCAGGGTGAGGAAATTTATTTGATTAAATTATATTTGGTCTAGAAAGAAATATGTATAATATATACTTAAGATTATCCTACCCCGGTATTACTGACCAGTAATTTTAGATTAATTAATATTACACTATTTTATCCTAGGTGAGCATTTTTAACACAGTAGAACTTCTGTAATGGCACAATTCCATGGGAAGTATGCAGCTATGCCTCATCCCAGATTCAATTTAGAGGAGTTTGCATGGGCAAGGTTTATAGAATTTACCGAAGAAATGACCACAAATCATCTGTTCCCAAGCCTGAAATCCAGTGCTGAGGCATTTAGAGCTGCTGCTGTAGCTCATAAATTGCAAGCCATGGCATATGAACCATACTGTTCGTAAGAGCTGGAGTAGAGCATGGTCCACTGAATACATTTTCTAAATCCTGGGCTTCAAATCTGTTTTGTACTAGAAGACTGTAAAAGTTTCAGCAAAACCCTCTGTTTACTTAACTGGTATGGAAGTTATTACATTTCTGGTGTACTTGAAGAAACCAGACCTCTTGCATTTTATTGCAAGGTACAGAATTCCAACCTTTAGAATAGCAAGGCATTGAGTGGTGCAAGTTGTCTCTTTTTTGTTTCATGAAATTGAGCAGTGCTCTTCCCACAAGTTTGATTCTTATGTGATTCATCCAACTATGATACAGGATACTGAACGGCAGATTGAGTTTGATACCAAATAAAATAATGTAGTTGTATTATGTGGAAATTATTTGAAGTTCAAATCATGGGCTTAGTCTCATTTGTGATTATGGCTGGTTCTGGGTTATTGTGGGTCTTTGGGTTTTTCTTTGGGGTTTTTTATTTGGTTTTTAATTCTGTCCAAGATATGTATTTCAATGCATGTAATCTTTGTAAAAGTACTCGAGTCTAAATGCATATAGAGTAGAATAAACCAAGATTTATAAAATTATTACTTATTAATGATGGTGATTACTAAGAGTCCAAATTTCCTTAACCAGTTCATTTTTGCTGTAGCTTCTGTGAAATGGAAAGGCATAAGAATGTTCCTATTAATTTTCTTACAAAGTAGATGTGGGATCTGACAGTTTATCCATATTTACAGATGGTCAGAAGGTTCTTGATTTGTTTCCATTTGGATTCACAAGGAACCTTTTATTTGAGAAAAGAGAGCCCTTGCTTGCCTCAACTCCCATGAGAGACCCTGGGTGGAAGAGACTGCTAAGCATTTGTATTCCCCCACTGTTGTTTCAAGGAGAGGTGAATTTGAATTCTCCTGAAGAAATCCTGGCTGTTACAGGGAGGGTATTAGGAAGTATTGTCATTTGAACCTCTTCTTTCTGTGGTGTGACAAGGGAGGCCTAGGTTTTGGCTCCTGTGAATCTCTTGGGTGATCTATAATCCCTTTTGTGGTGGCAGAAATGCCCTTCCTCAATAGTACATTTGGGCAGAAATTCAGCAGTGTGGCTCTGACAAAGACCTCCTTCTATTTAGTAACTCTGTGAGAAGAGATGATTGGATGGAATATCATTTAGCTACCCAAAAATGTCAAGTTACATTTAGGAAATTCAAAATTCCACTATGGAGGATTGAAGCTTCCCTCCCTCCCCCCACCAACCTTGAAGAAGTGATTAACTGAGGGTGCCTCTCAGCATGGAGACTGCTTGCTGCTATTGTCTCCTGCAGAAACAACTCTTTGCTGTGAACTGGTTTAACTGTATCATGTCCTTGAACATGTTTTCCTGTAACCACCTTTCAGGATTTGAGGACTGTTCCATAGTGTATATAACAACAAACAGAAAAATGTGACAATAGTACTCTTTTCCTGACCAATTTTTGTTCTTTCCATCTGTCAAATGTTTGGGTTTTCTTTTTTCTCCTAGTGCTACTGCAGCAAAAATGCCTGCCTTTTGTTTATGTCTTCCTACATGAGCATTGTGACATCATCAGTGGTATCGCCAGGGGAAAAAAATATGCATAGCTGTAGCTAAACCAGCTGCTCGTTAGCAATCTTTCTAGTCCGCTTTCATTTCTTCTCATTAATGTACACACAGGAACGTTTCCTGCCTAAGAGACGTGGAAGGTTCTCAGCCACAAAACATCTGCTCAGTCCTTGTCTTTGGATAGATGAAAATGGTAGTACTTCAGAATACACTCATTCTTGATAATGGCATTTTAAAAAACTGAAATGAATGTGAAAGCATAGAAGATACTCATTACTGGATTTAGTTGTAGGTAATTCTGAATCCTTTGCTAACTATCTTGTATAATTCAGTGTAATCATAGAGACTGCATATCAACTGTTACAAAACAGTGATCATACAAACCGAGCAAGATGCCAAGAACAATAAAGAAATGAGTTTTGTCATTGATTTGCCTGACGACATGGTAAGGCGAATGAATCTGTTAGTCATGCTTGTCCCTTCTTCCATGCAAATCAGCAGCAAAACTTCCACTGACTTTGATAGGACCAGAATAATGCCAACCATGAGCTACAAGCTGTCATTTATTCTAATGAGAGAGATCTCAAATAGAAGAGGGAGGTATTTCATTTGTGGAATGTTAATGAGAAAGCAGGTTTTTTTGCTATCTCATGTTATCAAAATGCTCTGAATTATTCTAGAGATAATTGACTGTTTTGTAGAATAGCTATATCTTTGCAATGTTAATATTATGGATAATTGCGTGTTCAGTACGAGTTTTCAGGGCGGAGGAGAGATGTTCATTTCTCATCACTAGCTGTTTGTAGAAAGCTAGTTTTAAATTAGAATATTCAGGGAATTCACTCTGCAGTAGGAATCAAGATATCTCCAAACATTCTAGCATGTAGCCCTGATACTGATAATGGATCAGTGAAAAAAAAATTATTATTTACCTTTTTCTGTAAGGGCTTTTATAATTTGAATTTAGATATTCACTTACTCTAATATGAAATACTCAGGTAAATATTGAGTTTTTAAGCATTATAAAATGTTATTTAAATTCATAATTTTTTGTTTAAAATAAACAAGAAACCCCAAGACAACCAACCAAATGCGTGCATGCACACATATGAAAACAAACCCCACAGCATCACCAACTATTAGCAAGAAGAGATTAGACTTCACTGTATTACATAATTTGTCATTTGGATTTGAGAGTAATCCCTGTTCAAATGGCCAATTCTTATTCACCTGAGTAGCCTCCCTGAAGCCAGCAAAACTCACTTTAAGACCAGATTACATGATAATGCCCTTGACTGAAATTTAAATTAAGGGGCTGGTTCTTAGGTACAGTTTTTCATTTTGAAGCTTGTCCTCCACATAAACACTGGCAGATCAAGTGTTAGCAAAATATTACCTCTTCGGAATATTAATTTCAGTGTGTACTGTGTGCAGAGCGATGCAGACAATGCATGGCTTGTGCCACTCCCCGCAAGAAAAAAATTGTGTGTAACCAATCTTTTGAATTTCTTCTTGGACCAGTGTTACAGTGGGAACGATAATAATAATTAAAAAAAAAAAAAAGTTCAGGGGATTTCCATAACAACCGCTGTCTTAAGAACTAAAGAAGCCTCAGCATTTGTTATTCCTTCCTCATAGTAGACCTCAGCTGATAAAAATATCCGTAGCCGGTGAAATCAGTGGCATGCCTGGCTTTCTCAGACAAAACTCCCATGTGATCACACAGGCAGCCTCAGTGAGCCCGAAGCTGCTCAGCAAGCAGTAGGTAATGAGTCTTTGTGCAGAGCGAAGCTCTTGTGGCTGAACAATAAAGCATATGGTACCAGCAATAAAACACAGTGCTGAGAAATTTAAGAAGATTCTGCTGGAAGTGGGAAGACAGTGAATATGTCAAACGTTATAAAATGACGATCAATCTGGTTTGGGTCCTAATTAATAAAAACAGTGCATGGATTGGAAAAACAACAATTTGAACAGGTCAGTTGTTTTATAGATTCTTCACACACTTTAGTGTTTTAAATATAAATGCGTTTTTTGCTATTTCTTTATTGTTAATAAAGCCAGGGTTTTTTTATTTAGTAAGGTGGGATTGGAAGGATGCACATCAGTGTGATACCAAGCTAAATAAATTGTGTTAAGTTCTGTGATCAAATTCATTGTGAAAATGTTTTTACCATTATTCCTATGCAATTCAAACTTCAATTGTGCATGAAAAATGGGATACCAAGTAAAATTAAATTTATGCTAGATGGATCATTTACCAATATCATAAAATATTTAGTAACAACAATCTATTACTCTGCTATGTATTCGAGACTAATTCTTTCTCAGTAGGAGATCTTTAGTGTTTGTGTTTGGTTAAACATAATGTAACATTAGAGCATATCTAATAGTGCACTTATATGGGTTCTTTTCCTCCACATTCTTGGAAATTTTTAGAAGTGGTGTTTCGTGTTCTTTTTAACGCAATTGTATACACATGGGAGTGATCCATTATAACCCTCTGCATGCATTTCACTCTAATGTTAATGCAAAATATGTTATTATTTTTCGAGTGAGTAATTATTTCTCATAGTAGTTCTTAGTTAATTATAGATAATTATTTTATTTTTTGGAAACTATTCCCAAAGATTTCTGTGGCCTGTTTTTCTTAGAGAGACATGAAAATTCTCGGTGATTTCACATCATGTCGAAATTAACCATGTAAAAGTTTTATTCCTTAAATCTCGTTACAGTATTGGGTTTGGGGTTTTTTTTTTCTTTCTTTCTTTTCTGAGTGCTGAAGGTTGTAAATTAGATATGCTGATTTTTGGGGAGAATTTTAGCAGGAAGGCGATGGAGCCCTTGAAAAGCCATTGGGGAAATAAAGAAACCAAACTCGAAATGCAGAGAACAGCATCTCTTTTCATGCGTACTTATCATTTTAAGGGAGAAATGTGCTGTATAAATAGCGCGTTTATTCTGTGGCCGTGCGGGGCTGGAGCGGTCGGCGCGCACGGGCTCGCTTTGTGCGGGGCCGGCTGCCCGCACGGCGGAGCCCGCGCTCGGTAAGCACAGACGGGGAGAAGGGGAAAGGAAGGCCGGGCTGCGGCTGCAGCGCCGGGGCGGGAGCGCGTCTCCCGGGAAACGCCGGCCGGGCGGGCGGGCGGGCGCTGCGCCCGCTCCGGCGGGCCCGGGGCGCGGGGCGGGGGCCGTGCCCAGCATGCCCCGCGGGGGGCGGGGCCGGGCCATGCAAATGAGGGGGCGGCGCGGCGGCGCGCGGAGGGGCGCGGGCAGGTAGGGCGGGCGCGGCGCGGGCCGGGCGGCGGAGCCGCGGCCGCTCCGGCCCCTGCGCGGGAGCGCGGCCGGGCTCGGACACGGACACGGACACGGACACGGACACGGGCACGGACACGGGCACGGACACGGACACGGACACGGACACGGACACGGACACGGGCACGGGCACGGGCACGGACACGGACACGGACACGGACACGGACACGGACGGGGCCGCGCGGCCCGCGCGCTTCCGCAGTGGGAAATGTGCTTTGGCTTTAAGCGCATCATTTCCCAGTTGCAAATGTTGCCGCTGCCTAAGCGAAGGTGCTTTGCAGTCCCTGCTTTAAAACGGTTCTCCGGTAAAAGGTAATTTTATTTTCCAACCCTGACACAGCTTCGCATCTCAGAACGCAGGCCTGTTCATGTTTTAGACAATAGATCAGAAAGGATGTGTAAAAGCACTTTTTCACGGTACTTATGTGCAGCTATTAATTTATTCTACAGAGAACCCTGGTAATATCGCAGTGACACCTGCAGTATGTGCCGTAAGATAGGATAACACTGAACATATCACTCTATGCTAATTTAAATGGAGAATATATAGAAATATACAGTCATACAATTATCGTATAATTACTATATTCGTCTAAAATGAGTACAGTGTATTTTAAATTTAACTTTATGAGGCAGTTACGTACTTACAGTAAATGCATACAGAGATAAAATTAACAGTGTGCAGTTAAATAACAATAGGAGCATCTCTACAGAACAGCATTCCCACTGTTACAAGGGAATCACAACTTTGAAATACACCTGTCTTGTCTGTTTATATAGGAAGAAAACAAAACGTTTTTCCTGTGGATCAGGCTCTTAAAAACATTCCCAGTATCAAGTTTCTTAAGAAAGCTTAAAGAAAAAATTCCTGAGGCAAAAAGGTGTTGCTACCAAGTTATGACAATTTTAAGACACGCTTTTCTTTACCCCATCTATACTGTTTTGAAAGTGTGATTATGTAAACTTTTTATGCTGCAATTTGAATGGGGGCTGTTGAGTCTCTTTAAGAATCATAAAGAGAATCACATCTTTATGTATATATCTGACATTTTGGAGACAGACACGTGATTTTGATTTCTCATGTTACTGGAGCTTTATGTTATTTATGCTGTCTTAATTTACTTATGGATCTGAGGAGCCTAAATCTGGTGTGCAATGTTTTGGTTTGAGGATGCAGAGTTTACTGTGTATTTTAGTTTTTTTGATCTCCATTGTTTATCAAAAAGAGGAATTTGCATTTATTGGGAAATGTCTTGCTTTAGACAGATGCAGTAGTTAACTAAATGAAGTTTAAGTTCAATATAAATTGAAGACATATAAGTCATGGTTTAGAGTACACAGTGGCAAATGTTGGGACACTTAATTCCAAAACTTAAATATTTTCCCTGAGATAGCAACAGATGATTGTCTCATCTAGAACTTTTGCTTGCTCTTAAAATGTAACTGAAGGTTGATGTGTAGAATTGTTTTCCCTTTGAACAAGCAGGTGGAAAGTCAGGTTGAAGCAAGGCAGCTATAATATATTGCAGCATTGGTAAAGATGTCTTAAATTTACATGCAGTCTGTCAGTATCTCTTTTTGCCCTTGCTCTGAGCCAGATGTGATGCTGAGAAAAACTGGATTGTAGATGTGCCCTTTCCTCAATAAAATATCCCCAAACTGCATCACATCTTTAAAATGCTGATACCACTCGAAGTCCTACCAGTGAGTTTTGATCACTGTTGAGTTGTTATAGGCTTTTTTGACCCTGGAAAAGGGATTGAGTGTAGATAAAAGACAGCTACCGCTCATCTACAAATGTATAGAAGCTGAAAATATTTACTAGGCTAAAACAGCTTTGAGATAAATAGCATGTCTCTAATTTCTCCATCTCTTCACAGACATGGATACAGTATGCTAATGAAACTTGTGATAAATTGGAGATGAGTAATTGATACCAAAAAAATAAAAACCAAACTGGAAAATTGTGGCCTTTTTCTTCCCTCACATTTGCATATAATTCTTTCCTACAGCTCCCCTTTCTCTACACCCACCCTACAAAAAGAGGTTTGTATTTTTAGCAGCTCTGCTTCAGTTTTCCATTACTTCGTATGTTTTTTCCACAAAGAAATAGGGAACATGGGAAAAGGAGTAAAAGCTTGCATTGCCATAACAATTTAATACGTGTAACTGGACAACTTAAATACTGTGAAGTTAAGGATAAAAGGAAGAGGAGCTGCTTAAGTTTTTTAAGGTTTTTCTGTGCTTAAATGCAAAAATATAAGCAAGGATACTTCTTAAAAATATGTATCCAAATGCATTGTACAATTTGCATTCAGGCTTTCAGATAAAAAGATACATGGTTTTGTTTAGTACTTCATAAATAATGTCATGAAATATATAACATGAAATCCTGATTGATTTTGGGGCTGGTTTGTGTCCTGCTCTTTCATAAATAGTAGGGATTTGCATATTTATTCCATTGTCTAATGTGAAGTAGGAAATGTGGGCTGCAGAGTATGGAGCCTGACCCTCATCAGTCGCTCTGAGGGATACGGGCAGGAACTACAGCATCATTTACCGATTGTAGCTTCACCTTCTCGCGTAGCTGTTGGATTTCGATGAGGAAATGCCAGCAATGATGCCATAATGTACTGCAAGGCTGCAGAGTAAATAAGCCTCTGTGGTATTTGTAGCTCTCATTAGCATGCTGCCCCTACATTACATTTATTTATTCAATTCTGGCCAATCATTTCTGTGCATGCCTGTGAGTGATACTTTCTGTCTGTGCTGCCGGGGGGCTGCGGTGCCGGGCTGTGTGTGTGTGTGTGTGTGTG